GTTAGAATACTATGATCTACCGCATCTTCTGCCAAAATGCATAAATTTTTTCATGTACTAACCATTATACCAACAAGTAAAAAAAAAAACTAACTCATCTTGCATTTACTTGCACTTTCAAAAAACGGGTATTCGTAAGTGCCAAATATGACGGCATCCGACAAAAGGCTCCGCTTTTTAGTTTCCCTGCTCAAGACTTTCATCCATAAACAAACAAATAAATGGAAAAAATATCATCATTGGATCCACAACTTAGAGCTCATAGTGGACACATACAATTATCGACACTCCTGATTTTTGTTATTTAACCTTTTGAATTCTTTTCTCTCTTGACAACCTCCCTTTTCGTTCTACAGCTGATGTTAGTTCCATACCTACAGTAGATGGCATTGATTCCTTGCTGGATATATACTGTAGAAGGTTGGGTATAATTATAATAGTAAAAAATACGTAAATTAAAATGGGAGCAATTTTTGAAACTCAAATGCATCCATTTGACAATAACTTGAATAGTTTAAAATTCCACTTTGAACGTGTAAATCCTATTAGAAAATTTGAAGAAGCATACCATTTGAAATGGAAGGCTAGGTTACGAGTTCATTGTGCTGAATTGGGGGAAGATGTCAGGCCTCCGTCCAGGCTTTGGCCTATCCTACTCTTGTTACAATTGTGTTGAAACGGAACATTGTAATGAGCATAACAACATTATATAAACATAGTAGGGAGGGATTGACAATAACGAGGAAGAAAAATGAGGATCAAACAGAGCCTCAGTAAACAAAAAACTCGTGCCTATTTACTTCTGTTAAAAGCATAGCATAGAACAATAGCAAAGAATTTTTAGGCTCCCACGCCTCGAGAAAAACATGAGGAGATCATACTAAATTCCGAACAGCATTCAAATCATATAATAGAATTATTACCAATTCAAAAGGAAAGTGATGAGAACTTCAGATGCAGGCCAAGTTCCAAGAATGTTTTAAATTTCCAAGCACATTTTCGTGCATCTTTGGCCGTTAATATCACCATGTAACAAATAGTCCCCAGCATGTTACTAACCATAAACACCAGAAGTATCCTTGAAGGCATGTAGAATCTTATCTCCCTCTTTCTTTGAAGCAGATGGTCTGTATTAAGTGCCTGTGGGTTTCATCACAAGTTCCGTATAATTTAAAGGTTAAAATCAAACTTTAAATTTAACCACACATTTCATAGGACACATAACTAATACACACTTATCCACCACCCATTTCTATTACATTATAAATATGCTTTCATGAACTAAACCAAGTAACTATTGATGATCCACATAATGAATACATACCTTATCTGTCCATTCAGCTCAAGCATTTTCCCAATCAATCCATATCTGTTCGAAACAAAAAAAAATACATTTAAAGAAAAAAAATTCAATTATTAAATCTCAAATTTCAAGAAATCAATTTCCTTTAACTAAAAATAAATTGAGAATCTGTACCTCGCAGAATTTTAATCACTCCAATCCCTTCTCCAATATTTTCATCCCCTCAGCTCGAATTTTCGATCCAATCTCAATCACCCATTTTAACTCCGAATCAATGGCATCAGTCCCCGATAAATGGGACTTATTATACAGTGTGAAGATTTCAAAATGCAACTTCACTGCCTTAGGAAGATCCCATTTTTCAGGGTCGGGTTGGGAATTAACAAGATTTTGAAGCTTCCGAACCAGTCGAAGAATACGAATAGTAGACTGGACAAGGACAGAGGTAGAGTGTAAATTTGTGAGCTGGAGAGTCTGTACAGCGATCACGCAGTGGGGATCGAAGAGCTCAGAGCGGGCTTGGCGGAGGGACGAATTAAGAGATGACAGCGAGGAGCGGAGAGAGGAGAGGGAAGATTCAGAGGCCTTGAGGGAGGAGAGCTGGTTGATGAGGTCTTGGTGGCGGGAGAGGACCTCGTGGCGGAGCTGGTTGTCGAGGAGGCGGAGACCTTCCTGGAGCTTTTCGATACGGGAGGCAGCGGAGCCGGATGATAGAACAACGGAGGAGAATTGGACGTACTGAGATCGGAGGTGGATCCGACTCTCCGCGGTGCGGTGGAGAGAAGAAGAAGAAGGCGGTGGAGAGAAGAAAAAGAAGGCGGTGAGAGATGAAACGTACGTGAGAAGCCTGCTGAAGAATATATAAGAGAATGTATTTATGAGAAGAAGAAGAAGGCGGTGGAGAGATGGAGGCGGTGGATTAGGAAAGAAAGGCGGTGGGCAACGACGTCGAGGAAGGAGGTGAGAGCTTGACAAGTGGCAGAAATAAACTGCCTCTTTTATGTAGTTAGGAAATGTCATTTATTGTACAAATTAGACAAATATATCTCATTTTGATTTCAATATTATCCTGAAATCAAATAATTGGTGATCAAACAATTGAATGTAATTAAAATAAAATAAGCAATTAACACATAATTAAGATGGTAATAAATCAATTGAATTCAATAAACATTAAACCTAAACTACATCGTTTATACTAACAACTATTTATTTACAAATTATAATTGTTAAATTAAATAACAAAAAATGAAAAACATTATCGGAGTCATTATAATAAAGGAAGAAATGAATCTAAGCAATTGTTTTTCGGCACCCAATTCCCAACAATGGAATTTCAAACTCTTCTTGGATGATTGTAAATCTCTTGGCCAATGGTGTCTTTCAACCTTCAAATTTCAAATTACGAGGATCCAATGTATTTGAATGTATAATTTTTTCTCAAAATTGTATCTCTAGCTTCCATTTTTTTCTTGAACGAAAGAATCTTATTTATAGACCTAAATTAGGTCTAAAATAGTCTCCAAAGGATTGAGAACCATAATATTGATCAAATTAGGATATCTCAAATTGCTGAAATTTAATATTTCATTGTGCAATCTGATCTCGGTTTCCTCTTTTAAAGATTTGAGTCCTTATATATTGCAATTTAAGTCCTTGAACTTCTAAATGTTTCTCATTCGTCCCCAATATTCTGCATTTTGCGTCACGGAACTACTGAAGTTAACCCAGTTAAAGAATTATCCATGCCTATTTCTTCTGTTGCAAAACATGCTTCTTCCTTTCCGGTTGCTTATTCCGGGGCTTCTGGTGCCTTATCAGTGCCTTCATCCCTTGTTGACATGAAAAGGCTTCAGTACCATCAGGCCAGAGTTCTATTGATACAAAGTTCGAAAGAGGAAGCACTGCTATTTAGTCAAAGGGGAAGGGAAAGATGTCAAAAGACATTGAATTAATGGTACTCGGGACATGAAGAATCCATCTTGCTTCCGTTATCTGCTAATGAGAAAGTTTAAGTATTGTCCATTGGCACTACCAAGGACGAGAATAAGCCAGTCGTGATGAGAACTGTGAGCTGAGGTCTTGTTTTCAAAAAGATGTATTGAGAGTTATATTTGGTGTCCCTATACCACGAAGAAGAGGACGTTCATGGATGTTAGTATGCATTATGTTTCGGGACAAGAACACCCAGACTAACTCGCCAAGCGATTCCGGGAAATTAGCTAATTATTAAGAGGAAATTACACAAAACCAGATTTTTAAACTTTCAATTTCAAATTTTAGATATAAACTTTATTTATACAAAAATCAGATATTAATTCATCACTATCTAAATTATAATTACTCAAACCCTAAAATCAAAAATCATTTCACATCTTCATTCTCTGTCCTCTGGTCGTCTCTCTCATCTCTCACCTCTCTCTATCGCCTCTCTTCTTCCCGTCATCGTCGTCGTCGAATACCTCGCAAGGCCATCGTTGCAAGGCCGGTCGTGTACGGTTGTTTGGGTCGCATCGCGATCTGTGTGGTGGTGGTTAGTCTTTTTTTCTTCTTTGATGAGGTGTGCGGCGGTTTGGATACGGTGGTGGGGGTTGGGTGCGGTGGTTTTCGATCTGGAGGGTTTTTTTTTTTGTTGTTGGCGTGGTGGTGCATTTGTGTGTGTTGGGGTGATGCGGTGGTTCTGGTTGTTGGCGTGATGGTGGTTGGGCGGTGGTGTGGTGGTCGGTGAAGGCGGCAGAGATGATGATAGGGTTGGGGATCTTTCAAAGTTGTAGGATGGGTGGTGGTGGTGGTGGTGATGTCTTGTTGTTTTGGTGGTGGTGCGAGGTTGTGGTGTAGATGTTGGGTGCAGCACGTTGTGGTCGATGACGGTAGTGTAGATAGTGGTTACGGTGGTGGTGACGAATTTGAGGAAGTGATGGTCGTGTTGGCAGTAGTGATGTGGGCGGTGTTGGTGAGGTTGTGGGGTGGTGCGAGGTGGTGGCGGCGGCGACGACGACTGCGATGGGTTTGTCATGATGGTGGTGGAATGACGTGACAATGTAGTGTTTTTCTACGATGTGTTGATTAGTGAAGTAGTTGTATTGCTGTCAAAAGGTGGTGGTGGTTTTGGCGGCGAAAGTGGCGGTGGTGCTGCTGGAAGGAGTGGTGCGGCGGTGGTCACAAATTATTTGATTGATTGTGACCATTAAATTGGTTAATCTGTGACCAATAACAAATACATGACCAATAAAAAAGATAAATCGTGACAAAAAAATAATGCATGACCTAATTTTTTTTTTTTAATTTGTGACTGATAATTTAACAATTTGTGACTGTCTACTAAGTTGTGACTTATAATATTTGTGATTTGTGATCGATAAATAAATTGTAAAGAATAAATATTTTATTTGTGACCGATGAATAAATTATGACCTATAAAATTTTTGAATTGTAACCGTAAAATAATTTGTAACACATAAAAATTTTGTTTGTGACTGTAAAATAATTTGTAACATAAATTTTTTGATTTGTAACCGATGAACAAATTGTGACATATAAAATTTTTGAATTGTGACATTTCAATTTTTTATTTGTGACCGATGACCAACTTGTGTGACCTATAAAATTTTTGAATTGTAACCGTAAAATAATTTATGACATGAAAATTGTGATTTGTGTTAAATTATATGAAATTTGTGACCAAATTATATGAAATTGTGATCATAATATATTTAATTAATAAAATATATTTGAACTAATTAATTTATAAATAAAATTTAAAAATTTTGAAATTTGAAATTTTAAACTTAATTTTTTAAATTTGAAATTTGTAAAACTAAACCTCTTATTTATGAATTCTTCCCATTATTTAATGCCAAATGTGAAGATGGGTTTGCTACATTTTGAGGGCCCAATTAAATATGTTCTAGTAAGACTTGAGCCCAATTACTTGGTTCATTACTGATTCATTTATTAGATGATTCTGACATTGAGTAAAAGTTGTTTTATGCTTTTATTGGATGCTTGACACTTGGATTGCTTTATACTGTTGGATGCGTTTTTTAGGCTTATCTTATATAAAAGGGGCACTTGTGCACCTTTTAGGGTTTCATATTGGTTTTCGGCTCTCTTTTGGTCTTCGTGAATATCCTCTCTGTATATTCATATATTGGTCATCAACTGGATGATTATGGGTTATTTCTTTGTGAGATTGTTATATTGAGAGAGGTGTACAACAATACATAGTTTTTTGCGAGTGAATGATGTAGTGGATTCGAGCAATATCCTTGTGGATGCTCAACGAGGGATTATGCATTAAAAGCGGTCGCTGAACTTTCGAAGCCTTTGGTTGAAAAATATTGTGTTCTTTTTTTTTTTTTGGTATTTTTCTCTACTGTTGTACAAAACAAACTTGAGCAAAAATTTCGATCTATTTATCCGGGACCAACTGGTATCAGAGTTTTGAAATTTTTTGATTGTTTAAAAAACATTCAAAACTATCTGACTCTTTGATTCTTGAATATTTTGTAAAATCTTTAGATCTGTAAAGATCTATAATTGGTTTGGTCAATAAATCACTCAATCTGAATTTTGAAGCTGGTCTCTGGAGTTTTTCTTGGGTATATTTATGATTCTGCAGTTCTAATAACAAATATCTAAACAGTCTCTTTTCATTCTTTCAAAAACAGTTACTGTCTATTTTTACTGGATTCCTAAAAATTCCCTATATTTACCTTTGTCTAGGGATCCCTGAGAGACTCCTAGAATATGAGGGAAGTAGGGTTTGGTCTAAGGAAATTCATATGCGATACATTGTTTATTGTTTCTTTCGTGAAATAATATTTCGTTTGTGTGATATCTGTTATTGATTGAATTTTCTATATTAGATTTATACAAGTATAAACTGCAATATTGTGATTCTTGAAACTGTGTGTCGATACCTACATCCTACTTCATATAGTATAGTACGAATTTGCATGCATATTAACTGTAATTGCATATTTTAAATTCATATTGTTTATTGAGTATAAACATATCCGAGTGCATATATTTGTTGTATAACTTATGTTCTTTTTTTTCTTTTTTTTTTTTATCATAAGTTTTTGATATATCTATGTGATATGTGTGATATTTTCTAACTCTTTGTTTTTGAATTCTTAAGTACTATTACTATACTTTTGTACACCACTTTTGTACACCATGATCACTAATGATGTTCAGATGTGGGATGTCAAATGAGACTTTAGTCTCTGGCGAACACTCATGTTACAATTAAAATGTGCTAAAGCCATATACGAATCGTGGACAGAAAATTCTCCTATTTAAAGGAAAACTGAACAAGATGAATTAGTTTGAAGCACATTATTCCTTCATCTATATGGTTCTATAATTAGAAAGGTAGGAGATACTGAATCTGTTATTGAGTTATGAGTTGCCTTAGAAAAACAGTACCTTACTAATACCTTACCAAATAAGTGTTTTCTGTGAAAATAATTCTTTAGTCATAAGTTTGATCCTAGTGCTGACTTAGAAGAGAATGTGGACGAGTTTAATAAGATCACACAAGAACTTATAAATTGTGGTGAGAAGATCTCGAGTGATCAGAAAGTAGTTGGTCTACTTAATGCTCTTGGTGACAAATATAAGGACACAAAGAATGCATTAGAATAAGGTAGGGATGACTTGACTGTTGATATAATTCATAGTTCTTTAATGAATAGAGAATTGGAATTAAGATCAGAACATATGGCAGTTTTTCATGTTGAGAATGCCCTATATAATTCTAAACCTCAATCTAAAGGGCTTAACAATTTTAGTCAGGTCAATCACAACAAAAACAAGAATCTTACTAAGAAGAGATGGGAAAATAATAAAAGAAATGACAAGAAAACCTATAAGGGAAATGATAAGAATAGAAAGTGATATTAATGTGAAGAAACATGCCATCTTATAAAAGACTGCTTTAAAAAGGCTAATGATCAAAGAAATGAGTCCGGTCAAGGTAATGGCTCTTCTACCATTGCTGCTACTTATAAAGA